CTTTTCTTGTTTGGAAAAAAACCCACTGTTTTAGAAAGAACCAGCAAGAAACCCAACGGGACTTTTTTTCAATAATCCTTACAAATAGACTAACAATGACTAGTTTACTCCTAGGCACAATCTGGTCACACTAAAAGTAACAACTATTGTCCTGAAAAGTATCGCAAAATAGGTACATATACACTAGTGACCCGCCCTGGCTTCGCCTGGTTAGGACCTATGAATGTGGAGGTATTTAGGTTTAAAACAATCATAGGCCATATATTTTTCGGATAAATTAAATTATCGCCAACACAACTCCTGGCTTGGCTCTGTCTCTCTGTTCTTGAATTTACAACCGGTTTAGCCATTCTGAAGCTTACCTCGTACAGACAGACAGTCTTAATATCATACAAATAGATCCCTCAGGCAGTAATTTCGATATTACCTACAGGCAATTCAGTTTTATTTATTTTTATTCATAGATAAAAATAATTCATAATGATTGAAAATAACATTGCCATTAAATTAAATAAAGAATGTTCGTGTCCAAAAGCCAAAAACAATTTATTATCTGTTCGCTTACTCCTGTCATTCTGTCATCTAAATAATTATGAAAAAAAAAATAAGTACTCGATATTCGCTCGAGTTAAATTATTAAACTCTCAAAAAACTTTGAGGAGAAAATTCATCGTTATTCACGCCAATACCAGGCGGAGATATCGGAGTACACCCGCGAGAGATGACAACGAATTTAATTATAAATATAATAAAAAATCTCCAGCGTCCCTTTCGGAGGACTTGCTAACGCGCTTTGTAGGTTGCCAGGCGTTTTTCAACCACAACTGCACAATAATAAAGTTTCTGTTTATGAAAATTTTGCATTCGCAAACACTGCATTGTCCTGATTTTCAATATATTGTAGATACAATCGACGTCACCACAATGAGGGTGTCTCATATTATTTTTATTTAAATTCGAGTCTTACACGACAAGACGTGGAGTGCTCAATTACGTGTGATGGCGTCAAAATCGTAGATTGCTATGACATGTAATTGAGTGTTAATGGATTTATTTATGCAGAATGCAGACGTAATTTATTTAAGTGTGATGAGACATTTGATTTATTACGATAAAAATATTTGTCTTTATTGTTGTTTATTAAAAGCTTAAAAACTAGTAGTAAAATTTTTAGTATTCTTTTTTTTTTAGTTTCGCCTATACTAGCTGGTCCCCGCGATTTTGTCCGCATGGAATTTATTACGGTTGGATTTCATGGGTTTGGATATTTTGCGCGGGACGCTAATTGTTTTCTAAAATAAAACTAGCCTAAGTTACTCCTTAGAACATCAGCTATCTGCCAATGAAAGTCTCATCAAAATTGGTCCAACCATTTCGGAGATTAGCCGGAACATACAGACATACAGACAGACAGACAAACAAAAGTTTTAAAATTGTTTATTTTTTATAAGTACCGTAGGTATATATATATTGTCATATGTATTTAGTTAAAAGTTGTTATTTTGACATTACAAACAGACACTCCAATTTTATTTATTTATTTATATTAATATTAAATTTATTTATTTTAATTAATATTTAATTATGTTATTTATATTTATAACTAACAGTTCCCCGCGACTTCGCCGGCGTGTTATTTAGGGTTTTAATTATTTTGCGAGAAACCATAATTATTTTTCTGAAATAAAACTAGCCCAAGTTACTCCTTATGACATCAGCTATCTGCCAGTAAAAGTCCTGTCAAAATCGGTCCAGCCGTTTCGTAGATTAGCCGGAACAAACAGACAGACAGACAGATAAAAATTTAAAAAAATGTATTTTTGTTGTAAGTACCGTTTATACTTTCATATACATTTACTAAAACGCTGTAATTTTGACATTACAACCAGACACTTCAATTTTATTTATTTGTATAGATTGTATATTTTTAACGCACTAAGCATGCGGTGTTTGCCTGTTATTAAATGTGCCCGTTGTTTATATGTATTACTGTCTTCGAATTATTTATATTAAGTATTAGTATAACATAAAAATACTTTCATTAAAATCATTTAAACATTATGATCTACAGGACAGATATTGCCCTCATAAAATGGAAGGCCGTGACTCTTTTTTTTTTAAATTATAAATTAGAAAAGATTACCACAGATTACCATTTTATTTATTGTCTTTGCTCACGGTTTATACTATTACTACTATCTACATTGACGACGATAAAAGTCATGGCGATATTTTTTTATTACCTTGACACCGAAACCACACCCGTGATATAAGAAGGTTCCAACTAGTGGATACTTTATCGTAACCGGCAACGTACTGGCATAAAAAAATAAAAAGGTACTAAAAATTAAAAATAGAACACTGCGAGTATAAATATTTTAAGGTACCTGCATAACAAAAGCTATAATTCACAAAGAGTCCGAAACATTCAACATCAGTTCAACGGTTCTGACTCATTCATCTCGCAGGTTGAAAGGCGACTAACCCTCAACTAAAGCGTGTTTAATAAACACCTCTAAGGAACTGCCGGGCAGTTAATAGCACTCAAGGGTCAGCGGATTATTCCTCATACAATGAAATAATTAATTGGTCCTCGAATTGGAGTTCCCGAAGCGCTATTACAAGTGTTCAGCTTAGTGATAGGCGAAGCGGGTGCACGAAAGTGCATGAATCAGTCAAGGAACTAATTGTACATACAATGCATTACAGAAATAATAAAAGGGATTTTTTATAAGCATATAAGTATAGTTAATGAAATTCAATATATGAACATTTCAAATTTAAAATGAAATTGGATCCACAAAAGGATAAACATATATATTCCTTTTTAAAAGGCCGGCAATGTATCTGCAATTCCCCTGGTTCCCCTGGTGTAACAGATGTTCATGGGCGACGGTAGTCACCATCAGGTGAGTCGCATGTTAATTTGCCCTCTCCCCTATAAAAAAAAGTAATGGAAGTATATTATAATAAGAATAAGTCACAGAACTTCTCTAATTTTAGAAGAATGATAGAATAGAGATGAGTTCAAAATGCTGCTTTAGCATTAGTTAACAGTATTATGTGCTCTAAAATATCTTTCATTACTCGGCTTTGCAGATGGTTGGTTAGATCAATTTTCCTTACGATATTTCTTTCATCATACCCTTTTATCGTAACGTAATTATGTCCTCCAAAACAGCCAGTCTCAATGGATACTAGCTTTCTGCGCATCAAAGTGTCCGATTGTTTGCGCAAATACAGATGCACTCCTTATTCCCTCACTCTCATAGTTAAATGGGATGGCAACCCGACACGACCAGAGAGAGATCAGGTGCAGGAACTACGGATTTACGTATTATTCGAGAAATATAAAATAAACTCTAAACTAATTTTGGCTCGACGCGGACTTCATAATCAGCAGTTGCATATTTAGAACACACTTTTGTCGTGTTGCTGTATCAAAAATCTTACTCACTCGCGTGCTACGATGAAAAACATAAGTTGAGATGGTAGTTTAGTTTTACACCATTAACCGCGATACGTTCCGCTTCCGCTTAACGCTGCATAATAAACGTGATCCCTAAGTCGAAGTCAATGGAGTTCTATCCATTACGCAGTCCAGTTACAAGTGGATGTGTGAATTATAAATTTCACGGCAAGCCTTCTTCACCATTATTACATAATTCATTGGTTACATTGAAACAAACATTTTAGATAACAATATTTTTGTGTTGTGAAAGCGGACACGGGGCGAATGTACTCATAACAGTTACAACAACAATAAGTTTAATTTGTTATCTGCACTCGGAAGGCACGGTAGAATTAAGATATAGGCTTCATACTTACACCACAGGGCAATAATTTCGTTGAAATATTTGAAGCCTGCACATCTAAGGAATTAAAGGAGACGTATTTATTACAGCCGTGTAGTAACGGTGTAAGAATATTCACTACCCCATATCGTCCCATCGGTGTCACAATAGACGACATAAGGAAACTAAAATAGAAAATAGGAAGCAGCATCTTTCTGATAACAACGCAAAATAATATAAAAACAGTGGTTGCCAATCCGCCTGCGTGGCAACTATGACAAAATCCTTCCTAAGAGGAAATCTATGGGAGAGGCATATGTTCCGCAGTGGATTTTTATAGCCTGTAATTGATGAATGGATGGATTTGCTATAAGACACATATTCTTTTTCATCATCAGGCTATCGCAGTAGCAGACATCATGCACCTAAACACTGCTGTGCGTTTACGATCTGGTTATTTCACGGCTGGCGTAAACGAGTTCGTTATATCTATCGGAAACTGAGTGCATCGTCGGCGTTATAATTCACCGTTGATCGCCAGTTAAATCAACATTTTAAGTTGCAAATAATAACATAGTTCTTTGGTGTCAACCAAACATCTATTAAGTTTTTCAAAAGATATTATTGCACATTATTACGGCAGCGTTGGTTTACAACAATGCTCATAAAAGTAGGATGAAATGCTTCTTTGAAGTTTTAAGCAAGTTTTAAGTAAACTTTCTTTTCTATATAAAAAATTAAGAAAAAATCGTTTATCAATGCAGGCAAACGACAATATGCAATCTAATACCATTCCATCATAGATACCTAAGACGTTACAATATGAGGTTCCTCTGTCCGGAGAAGAAAAGGCTAAAGCAACTCCGCCTGTGTCACAACTACATTGAAACTAGGTCCTTAATAAAAATAATAAATTCTTTGCAATGATTTTGGTTGTTTCTATAGGGAGTTAAGACACCTATAAATAATTATATTTACACGTAGTAGAGCCATACTGTAGCTATATTATGGCAGCGACATGAATGTGCCGGCTCGACCGGGGAAACACACTCCCAGAATACCAGCTTAGTCCTCATGGGTGATTTTTATTCTTAATCGCTCGATAGATGTAGATGTCCTTGTCAGCCTTTTTATATAAAAAATTGCAGGTAGATGTGTGCTTGTTTATCACCCATACTTATGTAAAAACATTTTTCGCTGTCCTAGGTATGGCGGGAGGCGGCATGGGCCAGGCGATGGGAGGCTACTATGGCGCGGCGTACGGGCCGCTAGGAGCCAGCATGGCGGCCGCAGCGGCTGCTGCCGCCCAGCAAAACGCCATATCAGCAGCCCTCACCCCTAACGCTCAGGTAATTTAGTTTATAATAATTAATAGAATCAGGCGTTACTTTGCGTAAGTCCATTATATTAAAGTTGGAAAAAATTACTTTGCGTACATCCGCTCGATCTTTATCGAGCGTATTACGCGAAGTAATTTTATACCAACTTTAATAATTTAGTTTAGTTTACAACAGGCTATTTTTCGCAACTCCACGTCTAAATGCGTATATTGGGTGTGGCCATGATATCTCCTCAAAAAAAACTCAGCAGTCCCTTGATGTTGCGAGCAACTTCGGGCATTGATCTCGGCGTGCCGAGATGTTTAACCCTGTATGCGGCGACCGCTGGACATGCCACGTGGGCCGCTGGTTCCTCCTCCTCCATACATGCCCTGCACAGGGGACTATCTGTAACACCTATGGTATATAAATGTTTGTTATAATTAAAAATTAAAAATTTTGTACAACCAGCTTCAATATAAATTATTAAGAATTTTAAAAAACTATTAGTCAGACCGTGATCAAATTTATATGGGACTACAAGAGGAGCATCAGCTTTCAAATAAAAAAAATTATCCAAATCGGTACACCCAGAAAAAAGTTATGAGGGTTACCTCATTAAAAAAGAACATACAGAAAAGAGCCGTATCCTGTAATAGCACTTGTTGCTACCCTGATCTGTGGTTTGTTTAATCTCATTAAGGCCTTGGTCAAACGACAGTCTATTGCTGGCCATAGCCTACTTAGGGCCATAGGACTTGGCTTGCCTACAGTCTTCTTCATTTTTCCAAAGCCGATGCCCAGCCAATTTGATACTTCCATTTTATACAAACGACCTAAGAGTCCACAATTAAAATTATTTTGGTAAGCAACTTCTATATCCCATGGACTACCTTAAATTACAACTGCTGTTCATGTATTTTCCCGATTCAAGCAAAATTATTTATTGGGTGTTTCTCTCAAGAAATTCTCAGTATAAATCCGAATTCAGAAAGTTGGTGGTATTTCTTCAAGCCCGTGCCTCGGAAAGCAAGTAAAGTTATTGATCCTGTGTCTGATCTCTCTCCGGTCGTGTTTAATAGCCATTTCATCGTGAGAGAATATAAAGTGCACCTGCGCTTGCGCAATGACACGTGCACTATAAGCCTGTCCCGCGCAGGTGCTATGTTGGGAAGTCTCAACAGAGACTAAGAAATACCACAAACATCCCAACACATCCCAGAGTTGCTCCGACAAAAATTTAAGGAAATTAATATATTAACTTTGGTCTCTCAATACATTTATGAAAATGTAATGTACGTACACAAAAATAAAGGTAGTAATACAAAAGTAAGTGATATTCATTCTGTAAATACTAGGAACAGACACAAGCTTGTTGTACCAGTTACTCGACTCCACCGAGTTAGTAATTCATTCTTGGGGCGATGTAAACGCTTTTACAACAAAATCCCAGAAAATATACAAAATTTAACCTGCTCAAAGTTTAAAAATTTTATTAAAGAAAGTTTGTATAAAAAGGGTTATTATAATATTAAGGAATTTATGGATGACAATAACCCCTGGGAATGAGGTGATCGCTTCCAAGTCACTTCTAATTTGTTTTGTGTGGTTAATTGTGTAACATACATGATTGTAAGCTGTTATTTCAAAAAAAAAAGTCGCGCTGGGTTTCTTGCTGGTTCTTCTCAGGAAGAGTTTTTTTTTCGAACCAGTGGTAATTAAACAAACGAGTGACTTTCAATAAGTATTATTTATAATCTATATTTAATAAAAAAAAGTTTCTGTTTCTGATGGACATCACAACTTACTCCACAGAAAGCAGCTTTGTTGTTATGTTTGATATTCTGGTTCGTTATTTCTCCTGTGTATTATTAGCTGGCAATCCTTGCAGCCTAAAATCATACTGGCTCTGTAATCCTTTGAATCGAATCACTAAAGTGATTACACTGCTGCTGCTATCTGCCGCAGTTGTCACGCTTTGTAAGCGAGTTGGAAACCGTAGTTTTTTTTTATTCTGCTGTTATCAGGAAGATGTCGCTGCTCATCTCCTAGGTTCATCTCCTCAGTCGATTCTTACGACTTTCACGGATTAATACAGAGTAGTGGATATTCTTACACTGTCACTACACGGGCAAAATATTGTTTTTAAATCCATCATATTAGCTTAGCTTACGCTTATGATTCTAAAAGACTACGCTCACGCTTTTGTACGTGGTAGAGCCATGCTGCAGCTATATTAGTAGTGTAGTTGTAGCACGAATGGGTCGGCTCGACCGGGGAGTATAGTGTGTATAGACAACTGGAGACCATTTTTACTGGAAAAGAAGCATTCCATCTTAGTCCTCACGGGTGACGAGCCATCTGCATTTTGATTCTTTATTGAGGATAGATGTAGACCATCAGGTGGACTGTGTGCTCGTTTGTCAGCCTATCCTATAAAAAAACACTTAAACTAGTAGTCACTCACTAAAAAGGTCAAGTTCTATTTATATGTTACAAATTTATAATTCTTTTAAAGGAAGCCGCCAGATCGTAAAACTGATTTGCTAATTTCCCTAACGATTGAGTAGCGGAAGAATTTGGAGTAATATAATTTAAAGTGTGAAATAGTTAACGCCTTAATATCCTCGTCAACCGTTCTCAAATTTAAAAAAAAAGAACTTACCGACCACACATTTTTTAATCTGCATTATTAAGCGTTGAAAATACAATGAGCTAATATGTCCGAAACACTTAAGCGCCGCGGGTGTAAAAATTAACAGGCGTGTAATAAAACGGCAATGAGTTTACTCTTTTCATTAACGGTAGGATCGTTGGATGAGTTAATAATATTTTTATATTTTGCCAGTATAAAAAATTTAACGCCATATTTTATTGCTTGGAGTACATCAATGTACAAACATCGAATATTGCAGAAACATCTTATATAGTCTCCGATAGGTGTCAAGTATCTGATGTTTTAATATAAACAAATAACATTAACAATAATATTTTTCACGTGGTAGAGCCATGCTGCAGCTATATTATTGGTATAGTTGCAGCGCGAATGGGTCGGCTCGACCGGGGATGGACCACGCTCTCACAGAATACCAGCGTAAAATAGAAGTTTAACGCTGCTGTGTTTCGTATGGTGAGTGCAAAGAACCGGAGACCCTTTTTACTGAAAACGAGACACTCCAACTTAGTCCTCATGGGTCAATTTCGAATCAAAATGCAGATTGCATTTTGATTCGAAATTGAGGCTAGATGTAGATGTCTATGGGCCACAGCAACCACGTACCATCAGGTGGACTGTCTGCTCGTTTGTCACCCATATCCTATAATAAAAAATTCTAACCTTTGTTCCAAAATGTAATGATCTCCCATATCACCTTCTGTATTCAATTTACAAAGATTCGTAACAAAAAATATTCACGCGCTGTCCGTTGTAATTTCCTTACACTACTTACCATTTATTTATTTATACTTTAATGCACAAAGACAATCAGTCTGCCAGCCAGCAATTAAGAGGTTATTAAGGCTAAGATTATTAAGGCTAAGCAGAGATAGAGATTATTTGATGTTTTTTTTTATAGGAGCAAACGAGCATGCGGCTCACCTGATGGTAAGTGACTACCGCCGCCCATGAACAACCGCAACACCAGGGGAATTGCAGATGCGTTGCCGGCCTTTTAAAAAGGAGTACGCTCTTTTCTTGAAGGTCCCTAAGTCGTATCGGTCCGGAAAAATCGCTGATGGTAATCGATTCCACAAGGAGGTCGTGCGAGGAAGAAAACATCTTCTAAATCGCACAGTGGTGGACCGCCAATCATCCAGATGGTGTGGATGGTATCGGGAGTTCTGCCGCGATGTGCGTTCGTGAAATTTGGCGGCTGGGATTAATCCGAACAATTCCTCAGAGCACTCCCCATGGTAGATGCGAAAGAAAATGCAAAGGGATGCAACATCTCTTCGCAGTGCCAATGAATCGAGCCGATCGGAAAGGGCTCGGTCGTCGACAATTCGAGCCGCTCTGCGTTGGATGCGGTCAAGTGGAAGGAGCTGGCACTGGGGAGCCCCTGCCCAGAGATGGGAACAGTATTCCATGTGAGGCCGAACTTGCGCCTTGTAAAGTAGCAGGCGGTGTGCCGGCATGAAATACTGTCCCGCTTTGCTGAGCACGCCAAGCTTTTTAGAGGCCAATTTGGCCTTCCCTTCCAAGTGACCACGAAACTGCACGTCACTCGATATGTCGACTCCGAGGATACCGATACTGGCTGAGGCAAGAAGGGGAGTGCCTTGAAACTGAGGAGATACGACAAAGGGGTTCTTTTTAGCGGTAAACGCGCAAACTTGTGTCTTCTGAGGATTAAATTGGACTAGATTTAGTCGCCCCCAATCCGAGACTTTGTTCAGCAAAGACTCGACTTCAGACACAAGTTTGTTCCGGTACTCAGCGACGTTTTCCCGAGAAATATTGGCACGGCCGGTGTATAAAGCATCACCAGTGCTGTCATCCGCATAGCAATGAATGTTACCAGTTAGCAACATATCATTGATATGCAGAAGAAACAGCGTTGGTGATAGCACACAGCCTTGTGGAACACCAGCGTTAATAGGCTTGTAGTCAGAGCATGCACCGTCTACAAAGACCTTGATGCTCCGATCTGCAAGGAAGCTGGTGATCCAATTGCACAATTTCTCGGGAAGCCCATAGGAAGGGAGCTTCGAAAGAAGCGCTTTGTGCCAAACCCGATCGAAGGCCTTCGCAATGTCCAGACTAACGGCCAACGCCTCCCCCTTGGACTCTACTGCCTCCGCCCATCTATGGGTCAGGTAGACCAGAAGATCACCAGCTGATCGACCCCGACGAAAACCGTATTGGCGGTCACTAATCAGCTGGTGATCCTCAAGGTACCGGATGAGCTGGCAGTTAATAATGGATTCCATTATTTTGGAGAACAAGGAGGTGATCGCGATAGGCCTATAGTTGGATGGGTCTGAGCGGTCGCCTTTTTTAGGGATCGGGTGGACAAAAGCTGTCTTCCATG